ACATTATAAAATATTATCCATTTGGGATAAGGTTCAAACTACGTATTTATTCTCAACATTCTTTACTTTTCATCTCAATGTACTGTGGTGAATATATTGTACTCTCAAAATAATTAGATGAAAAACTAGGCCCTGATCATAAGCCATATATAAGGAAAAACTTTAATGTTGGCATGATGCTAATAACATCCCTAGACAGAACTGGGAAGCACTTTGTTCTCAACAGTAAATGTTTTTAACTTTTAAACAGTAATTTCACAAATTTCAAATTGCGAACACATATAATCATCTAGTAGATTTATTTATCAAATTTATTAGATGTAAATAATATCTAGATGGTAAATATTAGGGGTGTCCAAAAGTCCCAAATCGAACCGGATCGAACTGAACCCGAACCGAACCGAATCGAAGGGTTCTTCATAAATTAAATACCCGAATGGGTACCCGAATCGAGAACCGATGGGTTTGAGTCGGGTCTCGAGTCTAGACTAAGAACCGAAGAACCAAATAAGAATCGAAACTAAATAATTTTTTTATTTTTTATGTTGAATTAATTAAATTATTTTATTTTTTTTATACAAATTAGCAAATTAATTAAATAAATCAAATTATTTCATAATTTTAATTTTAAGACCCAAATCATTTTTAAAGTCCATTAGCCCATTTTAATTTGAAGCAAATGAATATACTTTATGTAATTTTGCTGTAATATTACTATCTACTTTTTACTATTTATATGCATTGAATTAATCTTATTCGACAGCTAGTTATTTATATGTTTTTGAATTGACCTACGTTAATTTGTAAAAGTTACGAATGAAATGTCATTAGTTGTATTTATGTAGTGTTACTGAAAATATTAAAAAATTTAATTATGGTACGGAACCGAACCGACTTGAACCAAACCGAATGGAACCGAATCCGAAAGGTTTCATAATTATATTTGAACCCGACGGGTCCACTTTTTAAATACCCGAAAATTTTGGGTTGGTTCGGGTCTCTTCAGAATCGAACCGAACCGACCCACGGATAGCCCTAGTAAATGTAGAGGGTGGTGGAGCCTCTATATATCACCCTTATTAATTTTCGAAAATATGGGGAATTCAATCCATATTTTTGCCGCTGATGGTTAATTATCAATTCTCAATAAAGAGAACAAACATTATATAGGAATTAATTAAATTGGAGAATATCCTGATTCTTCATTGAGTGTTTGAATTCTCAATTTAGCAATATTATTGATCTAATGATTGTCCAATTGATCATGCCAAATAATAATTTATTCAATAATTGAGCTTTTGGTTCAATATAATGTTTGGCATTTGAATAACTATTCAATCAAACAAAAGACATGGTTAATTCTTGAATATGTGATTAACCGTGATATAATTATATTATTCAATAATTGAGCTTTTGGTTCAATATAATGTTTGGCATTTGAATATCTATTCAATCAAACAAAAGACATGGGTAATTCTTGAATATGGGATTAACCGTGATATAATTATAGAAGAATCAATGTCCACATGATATAAGTTGCATATTTTTCAGTGATAAATACTATTCAAACTATTATATTCGTAGAAATATGCTTCGAAAGCACGTATTTTATTATTATTTTTTCAAGAGCAATATATTAATATTCTTTTGAAATATTGAAAATTATAATTCGTACTCTATAGAAGCAATTAATATTTTTCTGAAATATTAATTATAATGTTATGTTACTTCACGAACAATAAAATGATAATTATCAATAAAAAATCTAAAAATATATAATTAAGTTAAAAGACAAAAAGTATTTAATATTCATTATAAACATGAATTTATTCGGTTTCATCATTTGATTAATACAAACAGAATGTGCAAACTCCATTCATGATTTCAGGATGTGAAACAGGAACATTGAGTATGGAATACAGTAGATGCAAACCACTAATTTAATGTGCAAACTTATTAAAAGCCCAAAATTGACTAACCAAGAGGAGAATTGGTTATAAAAACTTTTTCGTCAAAAAAATTCAAATTCAACTATAATGTAATATACAAGCAGATATTAGAGGACAACTAAAAACAAATAGGTGAGTAGGTGGAACAAACGTAATTTGCACAAAGCGTTAAGTAAAAGGGATAGAATGCAAACGATGTTGTTATGGAGGTTCGATCCCAAACACAATCTATGTCCCCCATTACCAAACTCTCGGGCACGAATAAAGCTTTTTCACTATATTGATTGACTTATGGTGCAATACAACCCTTTACAATGCTTCCGATAACTTAGAAACAAGGAGTACCGATTCTTATACAATGTTGAGTTTTACGTGACGGGACCTCAAAACGACCCTCAATTCAAAATGAGTTTACCAGTGAAATCTTCTCTTCTTAATAAATGATGAGTACAAGGTTAGGTATAAGAAGAAAAGTAGGCAAACACTTTAATGGATAGCAATGAATAAATCTCAAGTGATTAGTGTGTAAATCTTTGATAAAAATGATTTTCAAGAATTAGTTTTGATCAAAGATTTTTCAAGAGCAAAGTGATTTGATAATAAGGCCCCGTTTGATATACTAATATTTCCATTGAAAATGGAATTCAAATTCCATTTTCCATCTTTTGTCACGTTTGATTTTTTTTCCACAAATGCCACACACGTGCACACTTTCCATGAAATGGTTGAATTGTTTTCCCCACCTTTTTGGTGGGAAAATGGAATTTTNAGGAGTATCAAATTGGATGCTCAAAAGTTATTTTTCAAATGGTAGGTGGGTTGGTATTTATAGCAGTTGAAAGACGCAAATATCTCTGCCAAGCCGGACGACCATCCAGACGTCCGATTCAGAACCAGACGTCTGGATTTAGCTGTTAAAGAACTCTGTCAGAACGGTCAAAAAATCGATCGTTGCTAGCGAACCTATGTCCGGTTCGCCATCCGGACGTCCGGATGACCAGAGGTAGTTTGGTTCAATTTTTGCTTTGTTTGTAATCAATAATGATGTTTTTACTCGATTTTTCAAAGTAAGTCAGATTTGAGAGTTTTCAAAAAATAGGTTTTAAAACTTCCCTTTGAAAAATAATTTTGTGCAATCATTTGCATGACGTAAGTTTTGTCGTCGACGAGAAAACAATTACTTGAGCTTGCAAAGTATCATTTGCCAAGAATTAAAGTGTTTTACCTTTACAACCGAGTCAAGAGAAATCTGGTTATAAAGTCTTCAATCAATTTTGACGCAAGTGCTCGATTTGTTGTTTGATACGTAAAGCATGTCTTTATGAGTGCCCGATCAATCTTCGTTTGACTCAATTTTCCAACATGTAATCAACTTAAAGATTAAGTTAGAGATAAACATAAATTGTTTGTTATAATCAAAACATACGGTTTGACCATAGTTCAACAATTATGTTATATGAAAAATCTTAGGATTCTCAAGAAATAAAACCTCAAAACAAGGAGCCATGAAAGATTTTAAATCCTCTGTGTCTCTGCAATATCAAAACGACAACAGTATTCAAACTCATAATTTCCTTCAATATTTTCATTTCATTTTCATATGTTTTTAACTCAATAAATCTCATGTCTTTTAGCATTCAATCCCTAGAGAAATCTTTAAGAAACTCCAGTTCCATCTTCACCCTATACAAAAAAACGTTGGAAATTTCCAGACTTACTTTATAATGCCCCAAGAGAGGACACAACTTCATCGTATTGTTTTCGGCATTACATTTCATCAAAGCTATGAAAACACAAAAAGGAATATATCAAACTATGGTGGAAACCAGGAGAAATGTGCGGGTTCGTATGGCTAGATAAGCCTGTAAAATGAAGCACAGACGATAAGCAATACCTTCCTTTAGTGAAAATATTGAGTAATACATCGAAATTTGAGTACAAAACTTGTCCGGTGATCGATCCACCATACGAATGTGTCGAATAGTCTCCAAAACAGTGAGACTAGGGTTGAATGATGTTAGGTGGATTGTTTTAGGAGATGATGATACATTTTTCTTTGTTGATAATTTGGTTAGGGTTTTGTCAAAATATGATCATAACCAGTTTTATTATATTTGAAAATCATCTTAAACTCATAAGCAGAATATACATTTTTCTTATAATATGGCCTATGGGGGGATGCTGGTTTTGTCATTAGTGTATATAGTACTTCTTACCAAACAAATGACAAGTGTTTAGAGAATCTAAATATTTTTTTTTTCAAGATTCAAGACGAATGCACCCATAGAATATGTTAAAAGATATAGGTTTAGATAAAAACTGAAACAATTTATTTAAACTTCTCGATAATTTAATTGAAACTTCAACTCATATAACAAATGCAAAGTGTAATGTGTGATTAAATGCCACTAAACAAAATTTCTCACTACGAGAGTGTAATTGTAAGTCCTTTAGTGTGTTTTACACATAAGATTTATGAGAATTACATGAACACGAAACTGTGGAAGACTTCAATTGAATAAGGACAAACAAATGTGCTTGAGCACAATACCATTCTTGAGTTCCTGAGTAAACTTTGGAAACAAGATTTCCAGAAAATGATTTAAGACCTCCAGAAAATCTACACAAGCCAATGTTTTCCCTTGAAGACCTCAGAAACAAGTCGAGTGAAAAGGCCATCCCTCAACAGATAAAATTTACTCTCTATACCCACCCAGTTGTGATACGCATTTGCAATGGCAGGTGGGAGGCTGCACAGTCTCATCTCATGTTAGATTGGCAAATTATTGGCAGATGAACATAGAAAATCCAGGAGTCGATCAAAATACACGTATATATAGTAGGTAATAATCTTAGGACCTCAATGATGTTGCAGCAAGAAGAGCCAGCACCTTCTTCATATGTCATCAATCAGTTCTTAAATAAGATACGAACAAAGAAGAAATGGAGAGCAGAAAGGGATGTAGACCTCCCAGATATTTTAGAATTCTAAATGGATTGAATTGAATTCTCCAGTTTGGCCCTTTGAGATTTTTAAAAGGGCTATAGAATCTATTGTTCTCTATCCCAATAATGAGACATTATTAACCTCCTCTGCATCAACAATCAAAGAAAAATTAAAGAAACAAACTGGAGATGAAGGGAAATTTGTGAAGTTATAAAGTAACTGGGGTACGCAACAAGACAAGGGATCATTAGTTTCATCTTCATTACACATTGAGAGATCAATAAATTTCATTATATAAACTTAAAGCTCTATGAAGAATATGCCCAATATAGAACACTGGAACTTACGTGATCCTCAAATTCAGGACTGCTCAAATTGATAGTTAGATTTTTTATCAACATCAGCACCTGAAGAAAAGCCATATTAAGACGAGTAATCAATGATCTGTCTCAAAGAAATCAAAGAAATATCAATTGATCAATACAATATATATCAATTGATAATATAACCTACTGAGCTACATATTCATTTGCACACATATACACACACCAAGGGCGTGCTCGGGTTTATTTTCTGCTTAAGATTGATCAATCCTGTGTTAACAATAAGGTATGCCTAAAGGATCAAGTTTTCACTGCAAGCAGTGCATGTTCCAACCTCCTCTCGAGGAAACTCCAACACCCAATCTAACAGAGAGGGAAACAAAGAGCAATCCACTAAAGTTTATAAACTACTCCTTAAAACCAGAGTAATGGAAGTCATAATGAATAAACTTTTACACAGTCCATCCGAACTATGTACATATTGCATTCTCCCAACTGAGGATATTTGAAGGAATCATTTGAATGGCATAGTACCAGAATGAAGTGGAACCCGAGACACATACACACTATGCAAGACAGCTTTCCTACATCTGGACTTAACAGATTGCTTGAATATAATTTTAAATAGATTGCCTGAATATAATTTTAAATAGTCTGCATATGGATTTCTATTCTTGTTTGTATTCTTTAACAGATAGCTTCTGTCAACCCCACGACACTTGTGGTGCTGATAGACAATAATCCAATTACAGGGGAAGCCAAGAATGTTCGATAAAATATAGTGATAATAGACATCTGAAGAAATAGCTACATCAGAATGCAATTACTGGAAAGCGAATTGCTGCTTGCTGGATAAAATATTTAGCAACAAAGATCATCTTCAAAAGAAAAACTACTACATTGGATGTTAGTTAATACCCAATTCACAACATTTTGCAAGCTCGCGCATGATACAAAATAATTTGTGACACCGTGAAATCTGACTTACCGTATCAACATCTATGGGGTCCATCTTCTTTAGCCTTCGGAAGTAATCACTTGAATTTGGGTCAAAGACACTGCCAATAAATCTGTAAACTTGAGCAAAATCGGGCATAACTGCATCGAAGCAGGAGCAAGTTTAATAAGTGCAAAAACAGTTGATAAAACAGTCAAGTAAACTAACCTAACATTATGGACATGGAATTGGCTAAGCTTTTAAGTACTTAGAAGCAATGGGTCTCAATGAATGTGTGATTAAAAAGTAAATAAAAGTTGTGATCATAAGGAATGTGTGGTTAAAAATGATGTTTGACCAGAGCATATAGGTCCTTAAAAGTAGTACCAAGCAAGCACACAGCTATATATGAACCAAAAATAATTGTAGGATGTAGGATTTTGCTGTTTTTACTTGACTTCTGTAAATTATTCCCTAGATCCCACCATAAATCCCCATATAATAATTTTAGTTGTCTTGATATGATGTGATCATGTATTTAAGAAACATCTTCAGCTATGTATCCAAGTTCATAAGTTCTGTAAGCTAAAACTTGGACATCTTTCCGACCAGTGTCCATGAACTCATAAAAATAATGAATTTTCGGTTTTTAATTACCCTTAATTCAAGAGATTTAAATATCAAAAACAACAAAATGCAAAAGAAACTGACCTCTCACTGGCTTGCCTTGTTTCTGTCTTACTTGGGGAGTTGTCTCATTAGTTGTCCACACCCAAGGAGTTCTTTTGGTTGTGGTGCTGCAATACTTATGTGTCATGGTAAACCCTGCTAATCCCACATCATGTGAAACACCAGCATAAAACCATTTTTACTACAGGATAATGATTTGCTTCTGGGGAAAAAAAAGACCAGCATACCATAATAGAAACAAACCATTTGAATTATTTGAGATATTTCCTGTTGCCGATACATTGTTTGTCCAAGATGACAAAGCGGCACCAGCAATTTCATTTCTAGGTACAGAAAATGAATCCGACCTCACAACATTTTTGGGCTCAAGCAGATAAGATGAAGACTGCAAAGCTCCAGTAGCTGGGGACAGAACTGCAGTGGTAGGGCAAGTATAAGCAAGGATGGTTTGAAAAGGTAAGAATTCAATACCCGTGGCTAACAGTTCTTACCATTTTTAGGGGCCTTTAGTGGATAGGGATGGGCTGGTTTTTTCTTTGGACGTGGGGGTGGTATATGTTCACTTATTCCATTCTTCTGGACCTTCAGAAAATATTTCTGAGCATGGCTACGAATCTGCAAAGATTTCATTTAGTATCTGGAAAGTAGACTGAACATGCACACACTATTTGATATGGGTCTTCGCGGTCAAGTTACAACACATCCTTTTGTCATAACAAAGCTAGTGCTCTAAATGTTCTTGTAAAAATAGGTGCAGCGTTTTAACAACCTCGGAAATCAGAATAGCAACTGAGATGGTAAGCACATTCCTTGGCCACAACACTCCCTATCATTGCTCAGAATGGCCTTATATAAATTATAACCTATAATATTGACACAACAAAAGCCCTTGCACAGATAAGGTGGACTGTATAGTACTAGACAGTATTAAACAAGAAAAATAAGTTAAAATCTTGTCCAATATATTGACTAATACTATCCAATAATGCATCCAAACATTCTCTAGATACTTTCAGTACAGCATGCAAAGTGTTTAAACAACACTATGAATAGAAGCTGAATAAGTAACCACGTTCTTAGGCCATGACACTCCCTAATTATGCTCACAATGGCCTGATATAAACTGTAACCTATAATATCTCTACATCAGTATCTCTTGAAAAGATTAAATGGATAAGAAAGAAAGAAAGAAAGAAAGAAATATAATTCTTTGACAAATTTGAAGACAATAACTGAAATTAAAACTTCAGACAGAAAAGTGATTAAACTACAAATCAATGCAAAAAAACCTGGATAACTGTCTTTGACCCCACGAATGCTTCAATTTTTTTCCAATCGCGATTAAATCTGAAAATCAACAAGTTAAAACAAATGAAAACACACTCATTAGAAATCAAAATCTGGAATTACATTTAAATTTCATTNTTGAATAGTGATTTTTGGAGAATTTGTGATTAAAAATTAATAAAAAGTTTTCAAGTTACATGTAATATTATTTTATTGGACAATATGTAGTTGAAAATGAATTTTTTTAAAAAAAGGGGGGGCTCAATATCTTAGGAGTTCTATAAGCTTAGAATTTTGCAAGATACAGACTTTCATTTTGTAAGGACTTAAAATACATTGATTCACGTTCACCAGATACAATTTTCTATACTGATGGATTTCCAGTACACAGAATTCAAATTTAAAGATACTAAATAATTATAAACATCACTGAAATTTACAAAATTTAATTAATCAATAAATAAACTAAAATCGTTTTCAACTCCCCATCCTTAACATGATATTCTTTCACACAAATTTCCAGAACAAAAACTTAATAATGCAGACACTGAGACACACATAAGTATAACACTTACAGTTGAAGGGCTTCGAGGAATTTGTCATGTTCTTCCTCAGTCCAGCTCTCTCTTGACTTGGTTATAGTATACGGCTTCCGGACCTTCCTATTCGGATCCTCCACACTGAAACCCGCATTGCACATAACAGGTTGAATCAAATTACCGTAGTTCATCCCCGCCAGACCCATTTTCATCGGATCCTCACCCATATGATTTTAATAACTGTAAAAATCCTGTCCTGACACTGGATTCTTGAAAACAGACACCATATATAACACCAAATTCACTACCGCCCAAAAAAAAACTGGAAATTTATACAAAAAAGTCTTTTTTGTTGACGTTTTTGAATTACTGATTGAACTGTTATCGTTGTTTTCCTGGATTTGAGCGAAGGGAGAGCGTCAGGAGTTTATATAGGAGACGAGGAAGTGGGCGTGGGTGGGTGAGTAGGGGTTTAGAAAATCTGGGCCATTAACGTGGCTATTGACAAATGGTCCATGAGTAGATGTGTCAGTGTTTTGTTGGATAATGGAGTTTAGAAAATCAGAGCCGTCAACGTGGCGATTGAAAATGGGACGATATATATGGTTGGAATCTGGTAGTTGTGCTTTGACTTGGAGTTTGACTTTATTGGTAAATTTGAAAAAATTTCACTTTCGCGATTGATTTACGAGTAATTTCAATAATTAGGATGTATTTTCTATGAAAAATATTATTTTTTCATCCAAGTAGTTATTGATCGACCTTTTTTCTATGAAAAATAGAGTAATGCTATGTAATTCTCACTGGGATTGTAACATCAGTCTAGATGGCTCTCAATAATAAGTTAAATGAAAGATAAAATTAAATGACTTATTTAATTTTACCTATCATTTAATGTCACATTAACATCACTTAGACTGGAATTGTAATCTCAATTGGGTTAAATAGCATTACTCTAAAAAATATTTTTTTCAAAAATTGGTTAAGTGATCATGTTTTTCTCAAAATAAGAAAATGCTAAAACCATTTGTACAAGAAATGTTGACAACCTCTCAAATGAAGAGCGTGCCCCACGTGAATAAAAAATTCAAACAAAAAAACTGGGCCTCCCAATTGTGAGTGTTAGTCATCCATATCTGTCAACCATACCCTATACAAATAGCTTGGTTCATAAGAAAAATTGAGAAATATATTTTTATTTTCTATGCAATTTATACTTTCCAAAATTCAATTTATGGAAAAATACAATATTTTTTAAGTTGAAAATTAAGTCAATCAAACACATTAATCGATAATTTTCATGCAAATAAAATATTATAAATTCAATTACATAAAATTTATTTTCTTATTGCAATTTTCGTGCTTAAAATTAAACACACTCTTAGCCCTTATTTGAGTCACATTATTTTTTTCATTCTCATTCTTCTACTCATTTTCAATCACACATTATTCAATAAAATAATATTTTCCATCACATCAATAAAGTTTCCTTCTTTTTCAACCACATATTCCCCATCATATCAATAAAAAAATACATTCTTGGAACAAAAATATGCACCAAACATGGGCTTAATGTTTTAGGGGATGGTGATTCTCTCTCAATAGAATTATAATAAATTTTAACTCTTTGGACAATGAATAAGGAGTCAAATGTCCATAAAGATCTTTAGCATTATTCTTGTATTAATTATAATTTTATTTATATATTTCTTCTTGAATTAATATGTCGATTACATTCATTGGTATTTTATATTTTACGTCATCATCAAGATAAGTTTAATTACATAAATTTACGACTAAAAGATTAAAATTGTTGAAGCACAAATCGAGGATAATGCATATTTGATATGTTATATTGAACACAATTCAAAAATTTTATTGTGATTTTTATTTCTTATTTAATATTTCTAAATTTAAGAACTACCATCTCGATTGTTTGGATCATATATACTCACTTAAATCAAATAGCTTAAAGATTCAAAACGTTTTGAGAAGATCATATAAAAATATTATTAAAATTAAATTTTTAGCAGATTTTGATAAAATTTATAGTTAAAAAGTTGTGGATCCTATGAAATATGTGATTGAAATTAATAATTAATTTTAACTCAAGATTAAAATCATATTTTAATCAGAAACAAATAGGGACTTCGTAAGAAAATGGAAGGGACTAACCAAAAGAAAATTCCAATTTAACTACATGAACAAATATTCTACTTCGAGATCGTATAAAATTTGATTTACACTTACACAAGTAATGACGGATATGTAGAAAGATAATATTTAATTATTAGTACGACACTTGGCTTGTAATTAGTATGGCAATTGATTAGCATAATAAAACTTAAATTTCATGAACCTGAGGTGGCACAAACGTAATCCAAATTTGTCATGTTCTAGAATCGTCAAATCGATTGTTTCGACATTTTGGTACGACGACTAAGCAACCTAGGTTTAAAATACTTTTTGGTATAATAACTATGGGTTACAAGGCTTAGTTTCATGGGTTGAAACTTAGCATGACATTAATAATTCATAATTATTGTGAACGAGGGAAAAGTTTGACTTGATATGAATTTAATAGTTGGTCGACGCAAGTTCGTGTGTTTAGTAAAGGATCTTAGAAATTGAGTTTTGAAAAGCTACATTATGGAGAGTTTGTCCAATGAGTTAAGAAGCTTTTCACTAGGACAGATAGACGACAATCAAAGTCCATTTGATTAAGAAATATAGAGGTTGAAGGCAACAACATTAGGCAGTGGAATTACTGGAGTTTTAGTATATTACGAGTGCTTAAGGACTCTGTATTTGTTGAGACTGAAACTTCGTAGACTTGATATTGAAAATGTTAGCTTTTCTACGAAGCATCATTTGGAGGTCGGGAGCACATCTAAGAGGCATGCTTGGTGAGTAGTTAGACAGCCTCCTCAGTGCTTCGGTCCCCATAAAAGGGTAGCTTGCGAGAGTAGACATCTCAAGATTCATGGACTCTCTTGTGTGCCCTACAAATTTATCAAAGAAAATACTGTCATTATGAGTAATTTGATGGAAAACACATTGCAAGATTCAATGATGAAACTTTGTCAGTCGGAGGAGTATAATAAAAAATTAGTTTATTTTTCAATTAGGATTTTTTTTAAAAAAAAATAAATTTGGGATTCAATTTTAATTAGGACTTTTAATTTTTGTTATTATATAGATATTAGTTGTTAATAGGATTATTCATTAATTAAAAGTTAGTCGTTTATTAGGATTAGTCATTAATAGCTCTCTTTTTTTTGTTATTAATAAGGGTGAAAGAGTTTTTTTTATTGAAATAAAATATTAATTGCTGAAAATTTCTTCAATTTTCAATTCAAATTAAACTAGTATTCGAGCATGAATTAATGATTTGTTGATCAAATCGAATATTCGGCATTCTTACAAAGAATCAATGAATATTTTATGGTATCCTTTATGAATTAACGTATTTATTACTTTCTCGCTACATCAATTATATCGCTTCTAGTTTTGTGGAACAACGGTGCATAGATGGATGAATATGGCAAGATGCCGATGAGTAGAAACGAGTTTTCTATGAGACATTTCTAGTTAGCAATGGATTAATAGATGACCCTATTTGGGTTAGGCACTAACGATGGGCATGACAACAAATATTAAGTTAAAATGCTTGTAGAAAGTAACGAGCACAAGGATTGCGTTGTAGGACATGCGGACTACCCTCAATAATTTGGACGGAACTAGTATAACTCCTTTTCTAACGGGTATGCTTCGAGAGGATAGTATATTGTGCTTGAGCACGCGGGCCAGAAAATGTAAATTTCGAATAGACGAGCGTCTTGACACCAAGTGCAGAGCAAGGATGCATTCAAGTGTTTACACGCTAATAAGCTTTTGCGGGTAAATATGCAACAGATGACGTTAGACTCATGATAGAAGTTAGTAAGGTAGTTGAACGGAGTGAAACTACTGCCACACATGTACGTAAAAGTCCTGTTGAGAAACTTAGATAATTGTCTCGTGTCACCTAGACTTGACACATTCGACACATATATCCTTACTCTCTCTTTCAAATTGTTCTTCTAGGAGAATAATAAAGAAAGTCGTAAACCTTAGAAACATTTGTTAAACATGGTCATGGGTGGACCCAATGGGGGTCCTGGGGGGCAGATGCCCCCAACTTTTGAGATTCTTTTTTTTTTTTTTTTTTTATTTTCTTTTTTTTTCTTTTTAAATTTGAATTTT